CTTGATGGGTCGCATGTTGGCACGGCTGGTTGGCAATTATGGCTTCATGGGCCACAAAGTTGTCAATCGGTTTGGACGACGACAAGCCTGTCGCTTGTCTGATGTCCGCCAGAACCGAAATCCAACTGGTGAGAGTCCCCTTCCATGAGATCCGGATTTTCATCATAGAATTGAATAAAAAGGAGATTTGGGATGGTTCCAAGGGCTGGTGTATGGGTTCTCTGAACCAAAATGAGGAGCTTCCCACATTTGGAGATACAATGGATAGTCATCGCTTTGCAAGCAGTGACTCGGATAGTTGCATTTGGATTGTTGGGATCAGGAGCTCTTCGCATGGATTTGATGTCTTCACGAACTTGAGAAGTGGTTTTGTTGGCAAAAGAATCAACAGAGTCAAGGCCTTCAACATCGGTCATGTGTTGCATGAGAACGGGTCAAATAAGGAGATTGACTTCGCCCCAGTTACGAAATTAAATAACAGCAGCCATTGTGATGCGATGATGTGGTGTTGTTGACGATTTTTTGTTGATGTGTTGTTTGGTTTCAGAGTTGAATTGTGTCAGACTTGAAGTCAGAAATCGCCGGAGAGAAATCGCCAGAAGGCGAACGTTGGTGATATCTGGAAACTTCAAATAATTTAGCCCTAAATGTCAAAGCATCCCATATTGAGAGCTGTATACAAAACTTGGCACGGATGGTTGCACGCATGGCACGTCTGCCGTTTAGCCTTCGCTGGCGAACAGTTTAGTTAACGCTGCGACATGATTAGCCTTCGGTGCGCATCTAAACACTTCAATTGTGGCATGACAAAATCATGAGATCGATACGACGATGGTGATCCTAACCACGGCCGAATGAGGCGATTTTGACAGAAATAAATGAAAATAGACTATAAGCCTATAGTTGACTAGTTTCTACAAGTTGATCATTATCAATTCAAGTAAAAAGCATGCAGTGAGGATTGGACAATCCTCGCTTATTTCATGCAGAATATTACACACGATTGCGGAACCTGCCACGTCGGTTCTTTCTACGATAATATCACTGGCTGAGAACGGTCTGCGCACGTACAATACGGACAAAGCACAGGCTTCACTTCAACCGTGAATGATCATGGTCCGGG